TTAACTATACCATAAGTTAAAGCGAGATCAGTTTTGCTTGGAATAAAAATGAAAACAACTGGCTGAACAAAAAACATTTACAGTGAAATAAAATGAAATTAATTTGCCATGGATTAAAAACAATACAATAGCAGTGCAATAAAAAATATAACTCGTGTTTCTGTTTTTTGTATGACTCTTTTTGTGTACATGCACCCTAATGTAGAAAACATTATGGTAAGCTCATAAAAATAACTTAAAAGCTTTGTAATTTTGTGATCACCTATTGTCTGTCTGCATTTTGGATTCCAATTATTCTGATGCAGCTAAAAAATAATGTTGTATCCATCCATAATTCAGCTTTATTAGATTGTACTATCAACAAAATTGAATAACTTCATTTCCTTGGGCGGATTTTTTTGCTAGTATTCCTTAGGAAGAATTTTCTTCCTGCTAGTGATTTTCTAAGTAGGTATTTTTTTCCTGGTTAAAATATTTTAGGCGGAATTTTTTCCGGCTAAGAATTTTCCTAAGGCGGAATTTTCTCCTGCTAGTGCTTTCTTTAAGCTGAATTTTTTCCTGGTTAAATTTTCTAAGGAGGATTTTTTTCCTGCTACCCTAACTGTTTTCCTCCTAAGAAAATTTGCATATTTCGCAGCGTATTCCTGCTTATAGGAGGAATCTGTGATATGTAAACCTGAAATGCCTTAGACAGATTACGCCTAGTAGCTAGGCGGAATTTCTGCTTTTTTCAGGGCGGAAGTTTTCGTACGGGTACAATATACTTGGATATATTGACACTGACTTCTAGAGTACATGTATTGTAGTTCATTTTGAAATATGATCTTGACCCCTACATGTCCTTGACCTCCAAGGTCAATTTTTCAAGATTAAAAAAAAGAAATATCATAAGTTTGTTGTTATGTTAACTAATTTGGGATGAGTGCCTTTTTGTTGTATGAACAAGTCTTGTTAGCTCACCTGAGCATGCTCAGGGTGAGCTTTTAGGATCGATGATTGTCCGTCGGCCATCGGCCGTTCACATTTTGTTGTTAACACTCTAGCGGTCGCATTTTTGCCTCAATCATCATCAAACTTGGTCAGGATGCTTATCTAGTTGATAGCTCGGATGAGTTCGAACATGGGTCATCTCGGATGAAAAACTAGGTCACAAGAGCTAAAAATAGAAAAACCTTGTTAACACTCTAGAGGTCACATTTTTGCCTCAATCATCATCAAACTTGGTCATGATGTTTGTCTAGGTGATAGCTCGGATGAGTTCGAACAAGTGTCATCTCGGATGAAAAAGTAGGTCACCGGAGCTAAAAATGGAAAAACCTTGTTAACACTCTAGCGGTCACATTTTTGCATCAATCATCATCAAACTTGGTCAGGATGCTTGTCTAGGTGATAGCGTTCGATGAGTTTGAACATGGGTCATCTCTGTGATGAAAAACTAGGTCACAAGAGCTAAAAAATAGAAAAACCTTGTTAACACTCTAGCGGTCACATTTTTGCATCAATCATCATCAAACTTGGTCAGGATGCTTGTCTAGGTGATAGCTCGGATGAGTTCGACATGGGTCATCACGGATGAAAAACTAGGTCACTTGGAGCCAAAAATAGAAAAACCTTGTTAACACTCTAGCGGTCACATTTTGCATAAATCATCATCAAACTTTGGTCAGGATGCTTGTCTAGGTGATAGCTTGGATGAGTTCGAACATGCGGGTCATTTCGGATGAAAAAGTAGGTCACCGGAGCTAAAAATAGAAAAACCTTGTTAACACTCTAGAGGTAACATTTTTGCCTCAATCATCATCAAAACTTTGTCAGGATGCTTGTCTAGGTGATGATAGCTCGGGATGAGTTCGAACATGGAGGTATCCTGGATGAAAAAATAGGTCACCTGAGCAAAAATAGAAAAAAAACCTTGTTTATCCACTCTAGAGGTCACATTTTTGCCTCAATCATCATCCAAACTTGGTTCAGGATGCTTGTCTTAGGTTGATAGCTCGGGCATGAGTTTCGAACATGTGTCATTTCGATGAAAAAGTAGTGTCACCGGAAGCTAAAAATAGAAAAAAACCTTGTTAACACTCTACGCGGTCACAATTTTGCCTCAATCAATCATCAAACTTGGTCAGGATGTTTGTCTAGTTGATAGCTTGGATGAGTTCAAACATTTGGTCATCTCGGATGAAAAAACTAGGTCAATGGACTAAAAAATAGAAAAATCTTGTTAACACTCTAGTGACTACTGTTGTGATCCAAATATTCCTTGTAAATTTGTCTGAAAGTTTGTTTGATGATTTCTAAGTCAAGTTCGAACATGGGTCATCTTTGGTATGTAAAAACTAGGCACCCACCGCCCAAATATGGAAAAACCTTAGTTAACCATTTCTAGTGGTCACATTATTCGACTCAATTTTCATTCAAACTACTGTCAGGATGCTGTCTAGGTAAGCTCGGATGAGTCGATAATCGCATGTGAAACTATGTGTCACCGGAGCTATAAAATTAGAAAATCTTGTAACACCTCTAGTGCTTAACTGTTTTGATCCAAGTCCTGGAAATTGGTCTGAAAGTTTATTTTATGATTTCTATGGTCAATGATATATGGCCCGGATAAAAAACTAGTCACACTGCTCAAATATGGATAATCCTTGTTAACACTGTAGTGGTCACATTTTTGACTCACCTGTCATGAGACTTGGTCAGAATGCTTGTCTAGGTAATTGTTTGGATGAGTTTGATGGGTCAGGTGAGCGATCTAGGGCCATCATGGCCCTCTTGTTGTTAAGTCTTGTTAAGTTGATTTACTTTAATATTCTTACTACTCAGAAAAGAACTGAGTACAAATAATGCCTCACTAAACTTAATATTTGCAGACTGAAATTTCTTGTCTTTTAAAGTCAACTAATAAATTAAAGCAATTTTTATTTAAACTTGATGTTTATCTTTTGATTTTTCACCCACTTGTGTCAGTCAGTAAGCAGTATTCATTTTCAGAGTTTGTTATTATTCTGTAGAAATGTTATGAATTTTCATGATTGTTTTACATGTAGATTTCAGGCTGTTTAGTATATAATGCAAGATGCAAAATGATTGGTTGATATTTCAGGTAATAAGTGAGAGACAATATTATTGGCTGAGGTTGTTTTCTTAAGTATATAATACAAGAAACAACATGATTGGTTGATATTTCAGAAAGTTAAGTGAGAGACGATATGATTGGCTGTAAGCTGTTGAATATATAATGTAAGAGACAATATGATTGGTTTATATTTCAGGCTTCTTTGAAGATGGGAGAAGGTGATTGGTCAGACAAGTTCTCCCTTGATGTAGTGGGAAGTTCAGGAACTGTCCAGAGCAAAAATAAAACAAGAACTTGGGAGGTGAGTTGCTTATTCCTGTTCATACAGTTTAATTACAGTTTAGTTGTAATTCTCTCTCAGGGTTTTATTCACATTGCTCTGTAAAACTGAGAAATTGGAGCATGAATTTCATTTAAGCAGGGGGAGTATGTCATGGTTCAGAACTGTTCACTATTTAGGGGTGAAGATGTGTAAGCAGCCGGATAGCTCAGTCGGTAGAGCTGTGGAACGGTATTATGAGGGTCCAGGTTCAAGTCCCAGTCAGGCTGCACATTTTCTCACCTTGTCACAGTTCTGAAACATAACACCTATATAAATGAAAGACAGGTAATTTTAAGTTAACAAACATATAATTTATGTTAAATATTCTTGTTACAGGTTGGTGTTAGTATACAGTTAACAAACTCTGGTCTTACCAAGGTGGTAACATTTACACCATACTACATGCTGGTTAACACGTCTCCCTACACCTTGTTGTGTAAAGAAAATAGTGCCGACAGTGATTGGATTGAAATACCATCAAAAGAGGTAAAATAGTTCTTTTAAATTACATCCATGATTATATAGCCACAAATGATACAAAAATTTAGGGACCAATTAGTTGATAAATAAAACAAAATGATAAAAATGTTGGAAACAGAAATTTATAATACTACAGCAACTAGCTAAGGCAGGATTCAGTGAAAAGGGGGAGTTTTGAACTTTGTCATAAATTTTGTCTAAATAAAGCAAATTTGTGACACTTGAAATTTTCATATAGATTCATACAGGGAGGGGCTTCCATGGCCCAGTTGTTTATATTGTTGACTGAATAATTTGCCCTTTCACTTCTTTGGGTTTGAGTCATTCATTTTGCATGTGAGGAAGATAGTAAGCTTGGTAATGCAAGATTGGTGGTTCTATTCTGGTGCGTTTGTTGTGCCTGAAAAAATGCACAGAAGACACCTGACATTTTTCTCATCCACTAAAACTTGGAAATTGCCATATTACTATTACCGGTTCAATGTGACCAAATCATACACTAAAAAGTCATGTTGCCATAAAATTTAATTGTTTTTAATAGCTTTATGCGATAAAAAAACAAAGCTGATTATTGTAGTAAAATCTAAAAAAAATTGACAGTTGATAAATTGACCACTATAACCAAGGTAATTGTTATATTTCAGTGTGTTGACTGATAAATATAGTAAAATCTAAACAAATTTGAGACTAAAATAAATCAAAACAGTGTAACCAAGGTAATAATTATATTTCAGTGTGTTCCAGTTTGGCCGATGCAGACGGGCAAGGAGATGACAATGCAAACAAAGGTCAAGGACACAGATATATGTACAAGTCATTTCCTGTTCAATAAACCGCATTCTACACTACTCAAACTTGATAATGAGGTAAAATAGAAATCTACTATTTAGAAATGAAGGAATTTGTTATAAAAATGAGAGTTTTTAACCAGGTTTTTTGACAGAAAAACTTTGGTATTTATGGAAAAACTGGCATTTATGAGCATTGATTAACATTGATTCCAGTATTGTCAATTTTGAAGGCTGTACATATGTTATGATAATTCAGTATAGAGAAATAAAAATGACATGAGTGGCAGGGTGGCCAAGTGGTTAACACATCAGACTAGCACTCTAAAGATTGCTGGGCATGTGAGTTCAGACCCTGTTGACATCAAGCCGTTCTTTCTGTAGGCAAGCTACTTTACACTCATAACTTAGTACTGGTTGGTTTCAGGAACGGATTTAAGAGTGTTTCAAAAAGCTTATACATGTAGCTTCCAAAACAATCATAGAAAAAAAAAATAAATAAATTAAAAAAAAAACACACTTGGCCACCCTGCCACTCATGTCATGTTTATTTCTCTATACTGATTTTTTTCTGAAGAAGACTAAACGTCAAAAACTTAAGAAAAGCGTTTGTTTTTATTGAACTGATTATACACAAAACAATCATACTAAGATAAATTGTTATAAACTAAACATGACATGTCAGGTATATTTGCTATATTTCAGTATGGAGGTATCAACGTGGAATGTCAGGAGACAGAATCTTCCGTAGTAACGACCTTGACAAATTACAAGACTGGCATGGCAACCGTCCTAATTATAAACCAAACTGATAAGTGCAATATTTCATATCAACAAAGGTAATTTCAATATTCCATTTTTTGGGGGGACTGCAAATAATACCTTATGTTCAGCCATTTTGAAATAAACCATTCTTTACCCTTTAACCTGTTAAAATTTCTTAAATTAGCTTGACCAGGTTCTTAGTTCAGTAATATATTATTGTATTATTATACTCAAAATAATATACAATTTTACACACAATCATCAATTTTACATCTAAAAGAGTAGGGCCAAAAGTTCTAACAACATTATCGTGGGCCCTTCCCTGAAGTAAGTCAAAATAAAGCTTAAATTATTTGAATGTCATATTGAATGTCTGAATATTGAAGTTTAATTTTAAATAATTTTTTCCAGACCTAATTATAACAAATGTTTAACTGGTTAAAATAAATAAATCAAATGAGAAAAGTAAGGAAATAGAAATATAGATAAACATAATAATAAAAATATAGATACATGTAATAATAAGAATGAATATCTAAATTTATTTAATGTATTAAACAGTATGATTTGTATGATTTTCAAATGTCAGTAGTGTTCAATTTAAAGTTATTTATGGCTTTTGATATCAGTGTTCTAAAAAACAAATCTTGAGGAAATAGAAGGAATAAGGAACAAAATGAATTAATAAATAAAACTATTGTAAAAGTGACAAAGTAGTTACCAGTTTCTTGAATTGGCTTGACCAACTTTTAAGAATATCCTGTTGAAGATAGCCAACAATAAAGTGTCTGTGTGAATATAAACAATTATTTTCTTAATTATTTTCTAGTGGATCCGGTAGACCAGTGCATGTAATGGGACCGTCTATGGTAGGCTTGTATACATGGGAGGACTCTATTGGCAAGAGGGAGATACATTGGACTTGCGGAGAGAAGAAAGACGTGAAAAATGATCTTTCTCAGGTCTGTTTAACGAAATATATTCCAGCAGGGTGTTAATAAACTAAGTAAAAAATTTAACAATCTGAAGTTATGGTGGTAGGGGCATGCCTGCACTTCAGATTGGTTAAGATTAATATCTTACACCTAGCTGTTATAGATTAAAATCCTGCAAGAAAAATTTCATACTTTTATTTGAGAGAGTTGTTGAAGTAATATATGGAGATAATCCTAGATATAGGGCCACTTCTTATGCCTTAAATTATGTGTTAAGGGCTACCTGAGGGTTTTCTTACATTAAGGAGCTGAAATATCTGCACATGATATCTGTGTCAGTATTAAGTATATAAGAAAGAACAAATTGTGTGCTTGAAGAACTTTTATGTTAAAGGTGAAATTTTAAAATTATAACTGGGACCAAAATTTATGCATGGAGTATGGTCGACATGTATCGTAATTATGGTGTTCAAACACTGCGCTTATCGATCAGTCAATTTCTTTTGGTCACCAACATAGTGACTGATAAGGAAGTGCTAGTTGCCTATCCCATTATTTTGTGTCCAAGGCTATAATACCTTTTTAAAATGAGTTTGACCATGTTTTTAAATACTTAATACATTTAAATTGCATTATCTGTATTCCTTTTATGTACAGGATGGTATAGGAGAAGTATTCTTCAATTCTGACACAAAAGTTTACTGGGTATCTTTCCTTAACGGCATGCAGAGAGTTCTTCTGTTCACTCATGACCTTGCTCTAGCAACCATTGCTCAAGAGGTAAGTTATTGGTCAGTTATTTATAGTAACATTTTATTGTTATCACATTTCCTATGTTCCTGCATGTTCCAGCAGATGATTGGTCAGTTAAATATAGTTCCTGTATTCTTTAATGATTCAGCGAGTGATTGGTCAGTTATTTATAGTTACTTTATTCCACAAGTAGCTGATTGGTTTTCTGTTAATAGTAACATTTTGTGATGTGCCTATTTTCCAAGTATTCCTGCATGTTCCAAAATTTTTAGTTTTCTCTTTAAAATTCCAATTTTTGCATGCTCAAATAATAACATTAATGTGAGGAAGCTATCCAGCTAGCTTACGAAACGTCGATGGTTCTACTCGGGTGCCTGTTTGTGCCTGAAATAAAGCACAGAAGGGCACTTGAGTTCTTCCTCCACCAGTAAAACTGGAACATCGCCATTATGACCTTTACTGTGTTGGTGGGACATAAAACTCAATGAAACAAACAAATAGTTACAAAAAGTCAATTCTAGCCAGTTCAGTAAATTGAGTAGATATTTAAATACTGAGTGAGAAAATTTTAAAAATTGAGACTTCTTTATGACATGGAAATTACATTAAGAATTTAGTCCCCTAATCAGAGAAATCGGAATTATATTAAAAATTTTGTCCCCTTTTCAGAGACATAGATATCTACATCTCTGCCCTTATTCATATTTTGATGTATTGTATTTGTATTATCAAACAATTGACAATTATTTATATTTGTTTAAGCTTTGTTGATTTCAGTTATATAAAAAGTCACAGGTTGTTTATTTTTGTTTTATTTTTAAACACTGATGCAAGATTTTTTTTCTAAATTGAAACATACCATCAAAATGCTAATAGAAATTTAAACTAAACAATTTTATAGACTCTTGGGGCGTCCTTGGCCAAGTGTTATGGGTGTTGACTTCAAACCTCTTGCCCCTCACCATGGTGGGTTTGAAACCTGCTATGGACTTTGGATTTTTTCATGTGAGGAAGTTGTCAAGCTAGCATACAAAACATTGATGGTTCTACCCAGGTGCCAATTCATAGGGGATATACAGTATTATAAAATGATATTCTTGCATCTGGTGTTGTTTTGTAGTGACAAGTTTTTTACACAAGTTTATTGTACTACAATTTGAAGTGTGTCAGCTATTTGATGAGCACTAGTCTTTTTTTCACCATCTTCTTTCATTGTAGTGTTTGCTTTGTGATTAATCTAAATTTTTTAGACAAGAAAGACTAAGTTAAATAGGTTATTTTTAGAACAGTAGGTTTTTTTAGAACAATATTCTGTCTTATTTAGAAGAAATAATCGAAGAGATTCAAAATTAGGTCACAAGGTGAAAGGTCACATTTGCTGGTCAAGGTCACTGTGTTTGTTAACTGACAGCAGTGTCTTACTCAACATAGTGGTACCTTTTCTTTTGTAATAGTTTTTTGTAGATTGTATAGTACTTAAATAGTAGGAAAAAATAATTCTATTCACTCCTTAAATTATATTAATATTTCTTTTTTGCTTTTAGTCAAAAAATCTAAGAAAATTGTTCTTAGAACAGAACTTATCTAATGTTTTAGATGCCTTTTTATCAAAAGAACTTCAAAAGACTGGTTTCTAATCTCTATGTACTCAACTATAGGACGGATTTCTTATAAGGCGGGGGTCCATATTTTAACTTTAAAAAGAGCAGTTTTTATCAAGATCCACATAAGACGGGCTGAATTTTTTTTCCAGATGAAATACTACTGGACCTCACTTTCTTTATGTCAAATTCTCAAAAATTATAAAAATGACTTGATTGGGTAGATGGATAACCATGGATAGGCATGCACTTGTGTACCAATTAGACCAATAAATTGGAAATTTTGGAAAAATTGAGACTGATTGGCATTATCAATCAAAAGTAAAATAAGTTTAAAATGGCTTTTGATTTTATTTTTTTGTATTTTTTACCTCTTTTAAATCTACCCTTGTTTGTCTGATCTCTAGTTTTATGTTGTGTGACATGAATCAGCAGAGTTATGGAACTTGTCAATAATTGTTTTGTTAGTGCAGTATCGGGTTAACTCCTATCATATTTTGATACAAGTTAGCCTGTTACTACACTAAGGGCACAAAGGTTTTTCAGGGTAAGGATCATGTTGAAAAATGAAAGTATTATTTTGTCTGTATTAAAAAAGGGATAATAACAAAAAATAATTGTATGAATTTTTGTGTCATTTGAGGTGTGGGGTGGATATACATGACACTGTCTTGTAGAATGTGGGAGCAACCTTGTTCTTTTGAAATATTTCCAGTTAGATAAAATTTAGTCTGTCTTTTAAAAGAAGTCTGGCACTAATGCTCACTTTTTATTAGCAGATAATTGACACTCTTTCAAACTCCTTCAGATATATTAACATGTGAAATATGGTAAATGAAATAATAGTTAATGGTTTAATATTTTGACTGCATATCAGAAATTTACTTTCATAAATCTTTTCAGATGAAATACATGTAATTAAGATATGATATTAATATGGTTGACATGATGAATAATATATAGGATATGATAACATGATTTAATGAATATATTAAAATATGATATCATGTGTAAATTAATAGATATAAATGTGGTATCATGAGTTAATTAATGTATTTTGATATGATAACATGATTTTATAAAGGTATGATGACATGATTTTGTGAATATATTATGATATGATAAAAATTATCTTATGAATATATTAAGATTGGATGACATGATTTTGTATTAAGATATGATGGTGTGACTTGGTAATAATCATCGATGTGATGATATTATTAAATGAATGTTATGGTTTTAGAATTTGTCCGCAGTAAAATCCGTGTTTTAATCCTAAAGGTGGGCGTTTGATGAAAAGGCTGACTAATAAGCGGTCACCTGTTGCATTGAGCAAAAGTTGCTTAACACATTAAAGATATAGAGAGAAAATGATCCGGGGGAATTTAAAGTGGTCGCATAAGACGAAAGTCGCTTAATACACATGGTTGTATGGGGGAGTTAGACTGTATATTAATACATAATAATACTATGAATTATAAGTTTATATTGCTGTTGTTGTTGTGATATTACAGGCTGGCAAAAAGCATAGTTATTCTATAACTTTGAGAACATTTAGTGTGTTAGTAGTTTTATCATGAATTATTAATTTATTGTTGTTGTTGTGATATTACAGGCTGGGGAGTTAGAGAGGATAGAGCAGGAGATCAACTTAAACATTCAAGGCATGGGACTATCATTGGTTAACAATTATAAACAACAAGAGGTGGCTTTCCTTGGAATAACAAGGTATGTTCGGATATGTTTCTGATTTGACTCAGTTGATAGGGAGATATGTCCAGGGTTTATTGTAGAAATTAAGTAACCCTTAAGAAATGCAAAAAGAGATAAAAATGCAGCAGTAAAATCTAGTATATTTAGTTGTGGTATTTTAGAGTTATAATATAATCTGGTGTGTTTTGGGTATAATAAAAATCTGGTATATTTTAGTTTTGGTATAATCTGGTATATTTTAGTTCTGGCATAATCTGGTATGATTTTTTTCTGGTATAATCTGATATATTTTAGTTCTAGTAAACTCTGGTATATTATAGTTCTGGTATAATCTGGTATATTTTAGTTCTGGTATACTCTGGTATATTTTAGTTCTGGTATAATCTGGTATATTTTAGTTCTGGTATAATCTGGTATGTTTTAGTTCTGGTATAATCAGGTATAGTTTAGTTCTGGTATACTCTGGCATATATTAGTTCTGGTATAATCTTGTATATTTTAGTTCTGGTATAATCTGGTATGTTGTAGTTCTGGTATAATCTGGCATATTTTAGTTCTGGTATACTCTGGTATATTTTAGTTCTGGTATACTCTGGTATAGTTTAGTTCTGGTATACTCTGGTATATTTTAGTTCTGGTATTATCTGGTATAGTTTAGCTCTGGTATAATCTTGTATATTTTATTTCTAGCATAATCTGTTATATTTTAGTTCTGGTATAATCTGGTATATTTTAGTTCTGGTATAATCTGGGAAGAGAAGAGGAAGAGATACAAGGCATTTAACTTGAAGAATTGTTTGGCTCTGGAGGCAGCATACCAGAAATATGAAACAGAGAAGTTAGGTGGACATACTCCCCCAGATATGTTACGTATTGACAAGATGGAGGTAAAAACATATTCTAACACGCTTCACACTATTCCCTATCAAGCATAGGGTGATCATACACACTATTGCAAGATGTATGCACAGCATTAAAAACAAACGGGTCATAATATTATTTAACATCAATAAACCAAATAACATCAGGAAAATTATTTCTACCCTCAATGTAGTTCAACATATTTTTATCAAATCTCTTTCTTATTTGCATATTGGCCTTTGCAATTATATTCCTACACATTTTGAACTCGAAACTTGCATAATTCTACAACAATGCACTCAAAATTGATATCAATTTTCTAATTATACACATTTTTTTATACAAAAAAAAAGGAGAAAAAAAGGACATGAGCCAATATTCTCAGAAAAGCCATTCTCACATGATTACTGTAAAAGCAGCATGCCTCCAGATTCGTGCTTATTTTCATGGGAATTTCAAAAATGTTATTATTTGTGAAACATTGTGAAGTGAACTTAGAAAGTAATTTTCTTATTGCAAACAGCTTATACAATACACGTAAATTACCAAAAAGTCAAAATATGCAAAAACAGCCCTTACTGCGATAGTCGTACAGTAGAAATGTTGTGATAAATAGGGCAATATATAGCTTTATACACTTTAAAGGGACTCCACTCAGGTTTTTTGACATGGTGGGACTGAAAATATTTTTTTCAAGATAATTGTACCATTTGCTGTAGGTTTAGAGCACTAATCTTTGTGCAAAATGTCAGATCATTCGCGCACTTCGTTTTTCCAGAATAATTTTTCAAATTGTAAAAGTTGACCCAAAATGAAAAGCATTTAAAACGCTTTTCACTCCAATCGGGCTTAAAAAAGCTTAAAAGTACGATTTTCAATTTATTTCAAAGTATATTTCTTAACTATCTTTGCATATATTTCTGTTTAAAGTGCCCCAGCTCATTTATATAAGAAATTCAAATGGTATGTTTTTAGACTTTTAAACCTCAGTGGGGTCCCTTTAAGAATAAACATTATATTGTGAAGACAATTTGCTGGAATACATTAAATTCTTTCAGCTTTTTAGATTGAAATGTTACTAAACTTGCTCTGAAACCAACGCAACAAACAAGGCAAACTTCATTGTACTATATTTATGTTTATTATGATATTTTATTATACAGGTAATTATGTATATTATGATATTTTATTATACAGGTAAACTTTATTATGTATAGTACAATATTTTATTATACAGGTAAACTTTATTATGTATAGTACAATATCTTATTATACAGGTAAACTTTATTATGTATAGTACAATATTTTATTATACAGGTAAACTTTATTATGTATAGTACAATATTTTATTATACAGGTAAACTTTATTATGTATAGTACAATATCTTATTATACAGGTAAACTTTATTATGTATAGTACAATATCTTATTATACAGGTAAACTTTATTATGTATAGTACAATATCTTATTATACAGGTAAACTTTATTATGTATAGTACAATATCTTATTATACAGGTAAACTTTATTATGTATAGTACAATATCTTATTATACAGGTAAACTTTATTATGTATAGTACAATATCTTATTATACAGGTAAACTTTATTATGTATAGTACAATATCTTATTATACAGGTAAACTTTATTATGTATATTACAATATCTTATTATACAGGTAAACTTTATTATGTATAGTACAATATCTTATTATACAGGTAAACTTTATTATGTATATTACAATATCTTATTATACAGGTAAACTTTATTATGTATAGTACAATATCTTATTATACAGGTAAACTTTAAAGATATGATGATGTTCAAACCAAATAAGCGTATGATCCGGCGCAGTTTCCAGGACGGTATCTGGGTACAGTACAAGACGTCCCCACATCAAGTCCAGTTTCATGCTAAAATAAACAGGGTGCAGGTATGTACGGGCAACTGTTGAAATCTGTGTGTATTTTTGGCCTATTTTTAGACCACTCGTCAAAGTATTGAAACAGTTTTACGTAAGAATATAGGAATATCACTGTACATTAAAATAAGAATGGTGTTATTTAAAACCAAATTATAGAATAGATCACTTTGTGAAAAAAAGAATTTAGATATTGGATTCTGATAAAAGATTTTTATATTAAGTAAGAATCATTTGTCACCAGCAAGCTAAGGGTGGTGGTGGTGTTGGTAGTTTTCACTCCATATCACAACAGTAAGCCACATTGAATTCACCAGAGCACAGTTCAACCACCGCATCGTTTATGGGCAGGTTGTCAAGCAGTTTATGAGTACTATTTGCCTTCACTTTCGCAAGGAACTGAAAGTTCTGTACATGCCAGAGCAGAGGTACTGTGCAAATGACCGTAAATAAGATTTCATGACCAATCACAATGAAAGTGACCTGCGCTGTCCAGGATTCGAACCCGGGTTGCCGGAATCACAGTCCAACGCTCTACCTATTTAGCTAACGGACGGCTAGCAAGCTAATGGTTAAACAAGTTGACATTTAATGTGTCAGAAAACGAGCCAATATTATCAAGTTAGAAACAATGTCTGACCTGTCATTTTATTATTGATCCGACATTTTTATATTAAAGGGTATAAATCTATATCTTATGAAATATTTTTATGAAATTTATTGACAATAAAATCATATTGGTTCAATTATTATCCCCCGCCTATGGAATCGGGAGGGGGATATAGTTTTGGCATTGTCTGTCCGTCCATCCGTCCGTCCGAATTTCGTTTCCGGTGTAGTTCTCTGCAACTACTGGCTGGAATTCAACGAAACTTTATGGGAACCTTCAATACCAAGAGGAGATGCGCATATCGTCGGCTTGTTCGGGTCAGACACTTTCACTCAAAGTTATGGCCCTTGATAAGTTATGCAATATGCATATGGAGTAAAAATTGTTTCCGGAAGTAGTTCTCTGCAACTACTGGCTGGAATTCAACGAAACTTTATGGGAATCATCAATATCAAGAGGAGATGCGCATATTGTCGGCTTGTTCCTGTCAGACCCTTTAACTCAGAGTTATGGCCCTTGATTAGTTATGTAGTATGCATATAGAGTAAAAATCATTTCCGCACTACTGCTCTGCAACTACTGGCTGGAATTCAACGAAACTTTATGGGAACCTTCAATACCAAAAGGAGATGCGCATATCGTCGGCTTGTTCCGGTTAGACACTTTAACTCAGAGTTATGGCCCTTGATTAGTTATGCAGTATCCATATAGAAAAATATTTGTTTCCTCGCTACTTCTCTGCTACTACTGGCTGGAATTCAATGAAACTTTATGGGATACTAAGAGGAGATGTGCATATAGTCGCATTGTTCCAGTCAGATACTTATAACTCAGATTTATGGCCCTTGATTAGTTATGTAGTATGCATACATCTCATTGGCATTTCCAAATTTTACTATTTAACACAAAGTTATGGCTCTGTTATTGCCCTGAATTTTTATCAAGTTCAAAGAATATTACTGTTTATGCCATGATTAATATATAAATAAAGCCTTATGTCTTCAGTTGTTGTGTTAATAATAACCAGTACTCGGCGGGGGATATAAATTCAATGAATTTGCTTGTTATATGGTTGATTCCAGAAATAGTTGTAACATAGAATGTCTATTATTTAATACACACAAATAATGTATGTAAACAGAATAAAATGTTCTAGAACAAAATATTATTTTCCTATTTTAAGTAGGTTTTAATCTGTTTAGCAATGAATTTGTGCATGCACCATTCGCTTTTAAGGCAATAAATTACCATATTTATTTCATACAAGCACTTTGGAAGTATACTTTTTTAAATTTAAAAAAAAATTTTAATCAGATCTGTAGCTTTATACACTTTAAAAACATGTTTTACAAAAAACATATAATGTAAAAAATTACATTGAAAGATCATGACTTTTTGTGATAAAAAAGTTTTTTTTATTGGTCATTTTATGGAAAAATGTTGAATAGAATAATTATAATATATGTGTATATATTTTTTATGTTTGTAGCTGGATAACCAGGTGGCAGGATCAGTGTTCCCTACAGTTATATCACCAATGCCACCTCCAAAATCTGTTGCTGCTGAAAGTGGTAATATAAACATAATATAACAGTTTTAGATAAGATTTTGTTAAATTTGATATTTCTATTTGGGAATGATATATTTTAGATGAAGATGCACTGTATTAAATATAGGAATATTTAAAGTACAAAAAAGTTGTAATTTGATTTTATTGTGGCCGGCACCAAAGTTAACACTTACCCTTCTGTATCCGTGTGATAGAGTTATCCTTGTGTGAATTTTCGATCCAGTAACGATTTTAAGGGTGGGTGTTACAAAGACAATTTAGAAGTTTGTCAAACAACAATGTTATAGAATCTGGTTTGAAGAGATCAAAAAAGTTTTAGGGGCCAATTGTCCTACGGGATGAGTTGTTAAATTCTATGAGAAAGCTGCAATTTTCTACTAGTCCTGCTCAAATAGTCTTAAACTTTACTCTTAAGTACAAAGGGACAAGTGGAATTTTCAGGGCCTGGTTTGACTATATGGATACCAAGGCCAGCTCTTTACTGATTGTGATATTAGGGTTACAGATTGATTTTTGGAGACCTAAGCATATGTTATCTGTACCAATTGTTAACTTTTTACATACTTGAAAATTTCTAATTTTATTCAGCTTTCTTAAAAATCTAAAATAATAACAGCTGACTGTCAAACTGCTTGGTACCAGCACTTACTTGTGGCCTAGTAAAAGCCATATGTGAGCCGTCCCAACAGGCTAAGGGTAATATTATTTATTTAGCTAAATTTCTGAAAATATAATTTTATTGTTATAGTAATACTATTTCCTTTTATGTTTCAGTTCCAAAACCATTTACAGAGATCAGTATGATGTTGAGGAAACACGAGCATAGTAACATATCACAAATGAAGTAAGTTCCGTGACATTAAAGTGTCATTATGCGTGTTTTTTAACATATACTAAATTTGATTGTGTTAGAAGCAGTAAGCTTATTGAAACACTCTCACATCCCTTCCTGAAACCAACCAGTGGCCTTAGCAATTAGTGTAAAGATTCTTGCTCTTGGAACAACGGCTTGCCACTGAAAGGGTTTGAACCCACGTGACCAGCAGTCTTTAGAGCTCTAATCGGACATGTAGACCCCTCAGCCATGTAGACCACTCTTGTGAAATGAAGAAAGAAAGTAATTTACGCATTGCAAACAGACTTGCAGTTTAGGTAATGTACGAAAAGAAAGTCAAAATATGCAAATATATCCACAAAAAGCCAAAAACATGCCACATAAATAATAACGATTTTGCAGTACTTATCCCAGTGAAAATATCCTAGAGACTTATCAAATTTTAATTTTTTTTCCAGATATTTTAAGGTGCTAATACAAGAGATGCAGGTAAAGGTAGATCAAGGATTCCTCAACAATATTCTAGATTTGTTCAGTTCTGACCAGGAGGCTTCTAGAGATCAAGAGGTAACCATAGCAACATTAAAACAACACTCCTTCCAGATTTATGCTAGATTATATAGTATACAAATTAAGACAGTGTTTAAATTTATAATATAGTAAAAATATAACTCAACTGTTTAACTTTTAAGCCAACTTGAAAGATTGGGTTACAGAATTATTTTTAAAAAATCTGGAAAAGGGGATATCCCTCGGAAGCAATGAAAACGAAGTTCACAAGTGAAAATTGCAGATTCGATTTGATTGAGTCATTTCATGAGAGAAAATGGAAAAGTGTAATATCTCCCATGCCCCTTTGCATTGGGTTAAGCAGTATTCGATCTTCAATAAAGTATCGGATTCCATGATGAATTGATGACCGTATTGATTGAAATTGAATTAATACTTTTCTTTCATGCTCTCTTGCTAGCAAATAAAGTTATCCAAGCTAAAATGAGCACTTTTAAGCACCCCATATGATTTATAATTTGTCAAAATATGCAAAAATAGGCTTTTACAAGTATCAGTACTTCAACTGTTAAGCAAGTAAGGTTATTTCTAGTTAAGACTGATTTGACTATCATATCTCCTTACACATTATGCCTCACAAATTATTTTTGTTATGCTCCCCGAAAAAATTTCAGGGGAGCATAATTATAGTCGCCGCCTTGTCTGTCCGTCCATCCGTCTGCACTCACAGGAGAGTAATTATGTGGCTAATTAGGGACAATAGGTAACTGTTCTTTCTCTTTGATGTCATTCATTCCGTAATGCTTTTATGTGGCTATTTTCTTTTGTGTGGCTAAAAAGAACAATAGAGAGAACAATGGAGTAGCCACATAATTACTGTCCTGTGAGAACTTCCGGCTTTTCGTCCGTCCGTCCCCTTTTCTTGTCCGGGACATAACTTTGAAACAAAACAAGAGGTATCAACATGAAACTTTGTAGGTAGATAGATCTCATTGAGTAGGTGTGCAGTGCACAAAAACCGTAACTCTGCCTTGCCTATTTTTTGAATTATTCCCCTTTGTTTATTTTTACACTTTGAACTTTGTCCGGGACATAACTCTAAAAGTATAAGAGGTGTCAACATGAAACTTTGTAGGTAGATAGATCTCATTGAGTAGGTGTGCAGTGCACAAGAACCGTAACTCTGCCTTGCCTAATTTTTGAATTATTCCCCTTTGTTTATTTTTACACTTTGAACTTTGTCCAGGACATAACTCTAAAACTATAAGAGGTATCAACATGAAACTTTGTAGGTAGATAGATCTCATTGAGTAGGTGTGCAGTGCACAAGAACCGTAACTCTGCCTTGCCTAATTTTTTAATTATCCCCCTTTGTTTATTTTCACACTTTGAACTTTGTCCAGGACATAACTCTAAAACTATAAGAGGTATCAACATGAAACTTTGTAGGTAGATAGATCTCATTGAGTAGGTGTGCAGTGCACAAGAACCATAACTCTGCCTTGCCTAATTTTTTAATTATCCCCCTTTGTTTATTTTCACACTTTGAACTTTGTCCAGGACATAACTCTAAAACTATAAGAGGTATCAACATGAAACTTTGTAGGTAGATAGATCTCATTAAGTAGGTTTGCAGTGCACAAGAACTGTAACACTGTCTTGCCTACTTTTGGAGTTATTGCCCTTTGTTCATTTTGACACTTTGAACTTTGTCCGGGACATTACTCTAAAATTATAAGAGATATCTGAACATGAAACTTTGTAGATAGATAGGTCTCATTGGATGGAAGTGCAGTGCTTAAGAATCATTACTCTGCCTTGCCTTATTTTGAAGTAATTGCCCTTTGTTTATTTTTACTTTTTGACTTTTGTCTGGGACATAACTTTAAAACTATTAGAGATATCAACATGAAACTTTGTAGGTAGCTAGATATAATTGGATAGAACTGCAATGCTTAAAGAACCTAAACAAAGCCTGGTCTAATTTTGGAGTTATTGCCCTTTGTTCATTTTTACACTTTGAATTTTACCAGGGACATAACTCTGATATCATCAGGAAACTTTATAGATAGATAGATCTCATTGAATAGAAGTGCAGTGCAAAAAAACATAACTCCTCCTTGCCTAATTTTGGAGTTTTTTGCCCTTTGTTCATTTTTTTTATACTTTCCTGTGTCCAGAACCTTCTCGGGGAGCATCACCCGGTTCAACCTGTTCTTGTTTTCCTTTTGGATTTAGAGAATGTTATAGATGTTTATCACCTGATCAAAGTAAATGTGGCATAATTTGTCATTAAAGAGGCAAAATGTAAACAAAACGATATACTGTATTCCTAGAAAAGATTTCGCGCATTTTAAGTTAGCGGTTTTCGCGGTAGGCATGATTCCGCGAATCTTTATAGCCGCGAATATGTCACTTATAACAAATCCGCGAACATTTCTAGCTTCAACCAAATATAACATAAAAAGTGCAGGATATTCATTATAATCTACTTACACAAAACAACATATAAACAAAGGTGTTAGAGAAATGTGTAAAGAATTATTAATGTATGTTATTGATACTAGTTTTCACGCTGAAAAAGAAAATATCAATTATTAGTAATTAACATGCTTATTGACGTTATTTGCTAGTCACGGCCTTGACAAACTCATTTACAGTTTGCGAACATTGAATGACTTGGATTTCATTTACTTGGAGTAGGTGTAATCCTTTGGTAAAAGTACAATAGCGATCAAGTGCTACATTGATAAACAGCTGTTATGTTGTTATAATGAAAGCTATGTATAGTCCGAGAATGTGTAAAAAAATACGTATTGACATTTTGGAGATAAAGTCAGTATGACTCAAATGAGAATAAAAGCTTACGGGTCTGACTAAATCTTACTTAATAACATAATGAAAAGGTAAGGAAATATGAAAGTGTTCACAGAACAACCGTCCTTGTTCGACTAGATGAAAATGTATTTAGGCGCGACTTGTCAAAAAAAAAAATTAATTAAAAGCACCCAACAGGCAATGTCATGCATCAAAAACGTAACCTCCAAAAACTGTAATTTAGGCCGTAGCGACTTAACATTCGCGGAATTCGCGGTTACTACATATCCGCGAAAGTTTGTCTTCGCGAAAATGCTGACGTTGTGAAAAACGCGAACTATTGTATCCGCGAACATTTCTAGGAATACAGTATTTACTTTCATACAAAATACTAAATCACTTTACTTGTACCAGACTGGCCAACATGTAAACAGAGCAAAAGATTGTTCATCTTTGTGGCTTGTGAGTGCCTGTTTGTAAACTATAACATAAAAAAAAACGGTTTTGATTAATTGAAAATTCACTTATAGGGCTTTAAGGGCCTTTAAAGTTATATACTTGTATAATTATTTCGTCACAGAAACAACTTATGGAAGAGGATATAGAGAGGACAGAGAAAGATTTGATCACGACGATGGGTGTGTCTTTAGCTAGTGAACAAAAAATGTTTTATGATTATCTTCATCTTTCACCTATAAAGGTAATACTATAATTATACTATATTGATATATCATTCTGATGAGGATGTCACAGATTGTTGACTTCAAACCACTTGCCCTTCACCCCTGTGGGTTTGAATCCTGACAGGGACTTTGGATTCTTTAATGTGAGGAAGCTATCCAGCTAGCTTATAAAATGTCTGTGTTTCTACTCAGGTGCCATATAAAGGTAAATCTATATACTATATTTACCCTACACCCTTCTTACCTACCTAATGAATGTAGTGATCCAGTGGTAACATTGACTACAAATTTAGAGACTAAGAGTTTCATGCCATTTTAGACAAACATTTAGAGTTTTTTTTTAATGAAACTTTGAAACATTTCTGGCAAGATCTCCACTGGGGTCCAAAAGCCTAAACCATCAAAGTTGAAAATCTTACAGAGATTAACAGGGACACTTAAGATGAGAAATATATGTAAAAGATGATAATATAATACAAAATATATCTTAATTGAATTTGATGAATTCGTAATTACTGGTAAGTTAACTTGGTTGACTTATTGCCCTGATATGACCAAACCCGTGATGAAATTGGCGTAAAAACCAGACAAACACAAAAACAAGGTCTTTTATATTTATTACTGATATTTATAAAGATTTAGAAGTCAAATATTTAAATAGTGTTTGAGACACTTGGCCACGGACACCCCTGCTTGATACACACGTTATATGCATTATTACACAATTATTATGTAACTTACAGGTACATCTGAGCTTTTCACTACAAGGTGGTGGAGGAGGTGATGGTAAACCTACACAGTTACATTCTAACGTGATCAACGTGTTCTTACAATCTGTGGGTGTTGTCCTTACAGACGTACAGGATGTTGTCTTCAAGTAAGTTCTAGAAATTAATTTTAATTGTTAGCTCACCTGTCACAAAGTGACAGTGTGAGCTTTTGTGATCGCTTTTCGTCCGGCGTCCGTCTGTCGTCCGTCCGTAAACTTTTACTTTAAATGACATCTCCTCATAAACCACTTAGCCAATTTCATCCAAATTTCACAGGAATGTTCCTTTGGTGGTCACCTTTAAAAATTGTTCAAAGAATTTAATTCCATGCAGAACTCTGGTTGCCATGGCAACCGAAAGAAAAAACTTTAAATATCTTCTTTTAAAAAACCCTAAGAGCTAGAGCTTAGATATTTGGCATGAAACATCTTCCAGTGAATGTCTACCAAGTTTGTTCAAATAAAATCCCTGGGGTCAAAATTGGCCCCGCCTCAGGGGGTCATTGATTTTCCCTATATGCATATAGTAAAAACTTAAAAAATCTTTTTTTAAAGAACTCAAAGAGCTAGAGCTAAGATATTCAGCATGAAACATCTTCTAATGAGTGTCTACCAAGTTTGTTCAAATAAAAGCCCTGGGGTCAAAGTTGGCCCCTCCCCAGGGGGTCATTGATTTTCCCAAAATGCATATAGTAAAAACTTAAAAAATCTTCTTTTAAAGAACTCAAAGAGCTAGAGCTAAGATATTCAGCATGAAACATCTTCTAATGGGTGTGTACCAAGTTTGTTCAAATAAAAGCCCTGGGGTCAAAATTGGCCCCGCCCCGGGGGGTCATTGATTTTTGGCTGGGTTGCACTGGTGCAAACCCGGGTTATAGAATGGTGAATGTTGGGCGGCGGGTGGGGAAAAAACTTTCGTAACAGTTTTCTCAGCAACTACTTATCACAGCCTTTTGATATTTGGTATACAGCATCAATGCATGGTCCTATACTGTGGGAATTAATTTCAGGTCTGTCGCTCATCTACTCCTGTTTGCCGACCTAGTTAAATTTTCAGCATTAATGGTCCATAGTAGGAAATTTTCGTAACAGTTTTCTCAGCAACTACTTATCACTGCCTTTTGAAATTTGGTATACAGCATCAACACATGGTCCCATACTGTGGGATTCGATTTCAGGTCTGTTGCTAATCTACTCCTGTTTGCCAACCTAGTTAAATTTTCAACATTAATGCTCAATGGTAGGAAATTTTCGTAACAGTTTTCTCAGCAGCTACTTATCACAGCCTCTTGATATTTCGTATACAGCATCAACACATGGTCCCATACTGTCGGATTCGATTTCAGGAATGTCGCTCATCCACTTCCTGTTTGCCGACTTAGTTAAATTTCTACATTAATGCTCAACAGTTTTCTCAGCAACTACTTATCACAGCCTCTTGATATTTGGCATACAGCATTAACATATGGTCCCATACCATGGGATTCTATTTCAGGTCTGTCGCTCATCCACTTCCTGTTTGCCGATGTCGTTAAATTTTCTACATTTATGGTCAATGATAGGAAATTTTCGTAACAGGTTTCTTGGCAACTATTTATCACAGCCTTTTGATATTTGATATACAGCATTATCATGTGGTCCCATACAGTTGGATTTGATTTCAGGTCTGTTGCTCATCCACTTGCTGTTTGCCGACTTAGTTAAATTTTGACATAATTAATGATCAATAGATAGTAGGAAATTTTCATAACAGTTTTTGTCAGCAACTACTTACCACAGCTTCTTGATATGTGGTTCACAGCATTGACATGTGGTCCCATATTGTGGTATTCCATTTCAGGTCTGATGCTCATTCTTTTTCAGTTTACCAACTAAGTTAAATTTTCAGCAACAATGGTCAAGACAGTGGTAGAAAATTTAAGTAACATCACAGCCTCATGATATTTTGTATACATATGCAACCCGGCCTTTTCTGTCTTTGACCCATTTTCCTAATATGTGTATAGCAAAAACTTAAATAATCTTCTTTGAAAAAACCCAAATAGCTAGAGTTTAGATATTAAGCATGAAACATCTTCTAGTGAGTGTCTACAAAGTTTGTTCAAATAATAGCCCTGGGGTCAAAATTGGCCCCGCCCCAGGGGGTCATTGATTTTCCCTATATGCATATAGTAAAAACTTAAAAAATCTTCTTTGAAAAAACCCAAATAGCTAGAGTTTAGATATTAATCATGAAACATCTTCTAGTAAATGTCTACAAAGTTTGTTCAAATAAAAGCCCAGGGGTCAAAACTGGCGCCGCCCCAGGGGTGTCATTGTTTTTAACTATATGTGTGTAGTAAAACCTTAAAAATCTTCTTTTAAAAAACCCAATGAGCTAGAGCTTAGATGTTTAGCATGAAATATCTTCTTATGGATGTCTACCAAGTTTGTTCAAATAAAAGCCCTTGGGTGAAAATTGGCCCCGCTCCGGGGGCCTATATACAGGTGAGCGACCTCAGGGCCATCATGGCCCTCTTGTTAAACATCCTGTAGAATTATTTTAAGCCTTTACCGAGCTGTATTTATGATATTGACTAGTCCCCCTTTTGTTTTGGAACAATCCATTTTAAGTTGAAGGGATCAGCATTACGATACTAACAATAACCAGCTGATAGTATAGAATCAGGTAAAACAAGGCAGTCTTTCAAGGAGGTCCAGGTGTGCTTTTCACTCACATTCTTATGTTATCATAACTTGAGTTTGAACGTAACTTTTTGTGTAAGCAGAACTTAACGTATTTATTTGTGTTTCACTAAACTTTCTTAGCTACAGTTGCGTAAGTTTAAACGTAAAGTTATGCTCACTCATAACTTGTGTAAATTGCATGTTCTGTTTAGTGAAACGCAACTTGCGTAAATTTATGTTTTGCGTAAGTCATAATTTACGTAAAAAGATACACAAAAACTTAAGGAATGTTAGTGAAAGGCTCGCCAGATGTTACATTGATGGCACACATCTGCTTGTATGCAGCTAGCATTTATAAAGTTTGATAAAGTCCTTTTCAAATGTCTTTCAAGTTATAGTTTTTGTATCAAATCACTCATTATGTATATTAAATGGTCAAGAAGTCCTAGTGTATAATAATTTAAGTAATTAAACAATGTAATTTAAACAAATTTATGGGCTTTGAACTTCATGAATAATATTCATTATTGCTTGCCCCTGAAGGTTGAATCCACACAGCTTACAATCCTAGGACCTTGAATTGCAAGGGTTTTGTGTTTAATTTTCAGACTTGGTTTCTTTGAGAGACAACATACATTCTACAACAATAAAATGTTGGTTGGTGAAATGACCACACATTATGCTGGACAGGTAAGTCATATTGGCCCATAATACATTTATAAAACTTTGCTTGCTGAGAAACTGAAGACAAAATGAAATAAAATGGAAAAATAAGGGATATACTTCTATTTTACAAGAAAAATATGTGTTGAGATGAAAATATACTCCTATATACACAGGGAAAAAAGATTGCATTGAGAATTTTGAGATGAAAAGCAAGACATTTTGATTTGAACATATTTGTATGATTGCATTGAAAGCTTAAAGCTATTATAACTCCAAATTGTCTCCCTTTAGCTTACCAGTGGTAATATCTTACTGGTGTGAGGAAATGTGGTTGTTACCTCTGTATGGCTTGAACACTTGATCCCTGGGTTTTATAGGCTAATACCCTAACCACAAGGTACTTTCTGGACCTAGAACAGGCTATTTATCAAATGTATTGGCAAGTAGTTGTTTTGTGTATTATATTTAATGTGGTGTTTTGTCCACTCTATACAATTTTGAGGTGTGGGGTTTTGTCCTACATTCATGTTTTAAACTTGAATATCATGTTGAACAGTTTATTGTTCAATTGTCTCGTAATTAAAAAAGTTGTTTTCTTTGTTGATTTCAGGCAATAAAACAGATGTATGTGTTGGTATTAGGTCTAGATGTTCTAGGTAATCCGTTTGGTCTGTTACGTGGTATGGCAGAGGGTCTAGAAGATCTTTTCTATGAACCTTACCAGGTAGGTTTGAAATTTAATTTTTATTCATTCTCACAAATTAGACCATTTCTTATTATAAAGCTTATCATGAAGATGCATAATCTATGTTAGCATAGTTTTATAATTTTTTAAGGGAGCTCCACTGAGGTCAAAAAGCCTAAAAACAAAATTTTAGATTCTTATACATTTGTATAAATCAAGAAAATCACTTAAAATGGAAAAAAATCTGCAAAGGATGATAAAGAAATATGCTCAAATATTTAATTGAAAATTATTTTTTTTCGCTATCCTTGGCCTGATTTGAGTGAAAAGCATTATAACGCTTTTCATTTTTGGGTCATTTTGCACTGGTAATTAAATTGACTCCCTTGTGTCCTGTTTTGGTAATTATCAATGTACATAATTTACAGGGTGCTATACAAGGACCTGAGGAATTTGCTGAAGGTCTTGCTCTAGGAGTGAGAAGCTTGTTTGGACATGCTGTTGGTATGTATATACTTATGTAATAATGTGGTTTAGTTAAAGACTGTCCATCTAGCTCAATAGGTTAGACTGTGAATAGGGTAACCCGGGTTTGATTCCCAGACGGTGCAGGTCACTTCCGTTTTGATTGTTAATGAAGTCTATTCTATGGTCATTGGCACTGTACCTCTGCTCTGTCATGTACATAAGTTATCATTTCCTTGCTGAAGTGAAGGTAATTAGTCTTGGTAAACTTTTATATCTCAAATTTAAAGACTTGGCTTAAGTTAAAAATCCTGTGCTTAGATGATTCATTTAAGAGTTTTATCATGTTTTGTTGCCAGGTGGCGCTGCAGGAGCTGTATCTAGGATCACTGGTACCCTAGGTAAAGGTCTGGCAGCTCTAACACTAGATGACGAGTACCAGAAGAAAAGACGAGAGGCAATGAACAAAAGACCGGCAAATGTTGGTGAAGGTTTTGCCCGGGGTGGTAAAGGTCTAGTCATGGTGAGTATGTCATTTTTACATCCTTAATTCCCACAAGTGTCTTTGAATTCTTTCATGAGAGAGGGCTATTTTACGGAACGTCCTTGGCTCTTTTCAGGTGCCTGTTTTTGCGTGAAGTAATGCTCAGATGGGCACCTGTTGTCTTCCTCCACCTGTAATGCTGGAAAATCGCCATATGAGCTATACTGTTCTGGTGTGACATAAAACCCAATAACAACACAAGCATCCTTATGTACCTTTTTAGCTCAACTGAGCTGTGCAGTTACAGTTATGAAATTTAAAACAAATACACATTAGTAGAAGCTGGATTGAATTTGATATCAGATGACCGAAATTTTTACTTTATTACCTTGTGGTTACTTTTCGTATACAATATTATTTATTTCTGACATATAGAGAATTTATGATCAGGTGAGCTATTCAGGGCCATCGTTGTCCTCTTGTTTAAAGCATCAAACCTCCAGAATTGTAGAATAGTATAAAACGGTGTGGGGAGAGATGAATAAGATATCTTAAAGTGCATTTTGTTGGGCGAAAAGGCAAGATTTTAGCATTTAATCATTCTAGCAACTTGTCCGGAATACACCGGAATACGGTAGTTATAGTGTGGTGCACCAACATTCTTTTTTCTGTGGTTAGAAAATTTGTTGAATGGTTTATAATATGTGTGTATTATATAATTAGGGTGTGTTTGATGGAGTCACAGGCATTGTGAGGAAGCCTATCGAAGGTGCCAAGAAAGAAGGAGTGGAGGGATTCTTTAAGGGTGTGGGTAAAGGTCTGGTTGGCGTGGTAACCAGACCTACAAGTGGTGTTATCGACTTTGCTAGTAGCTCTTTTGAAGGAATTAAGAGGTAAACTAAATTAAACTAGATTAACATTTTGCAAATTAATATTTGTAAATCTGCGATCATAATTTAACATGTCTATCTTAAACACATTGGTAACTGGCTTCATTGATTGGAGAATAAAACATTTTGGTTTAATTTTGGTATTGTCTTTATATTACCTAAGTGTCATATTGATTCATAAAGATACAAAATAACTATTCTAACCTTTAAATATGAATGACCAGTACTCAATGTATTTGTGCCCAAGCCATTACCTCAAACATTTGCTCAAGCCAATACCTAAAGGCTCGGATAAGTTCCTTAACTTCTGACCATTTACCTCTCACCACTGTAGACTCAAGCCGTGTCAGCGACTTGGGATTCTACATTTGATACAGCTATCCATCTAGCTTACGGAACGTTGGTGGTTCTACTCAGGTGCCCTTTTGTGCCTGAGGTCTTCCTCCACAAGTAAAACTTGAAAGTCACCTTATGACCTATACTGTGTTGGTGCAGCAATTAAACCCAACCAACCCAGCCAATGCATGAAAGACTATTTTTGGTTATGAAGTTCAACTGTAAAGGTACAATATATTTAGAAACAAAGTTAACTTTGTTGAAAATGTAAAAACCTAAAGTATTATATAGACTACATGCGTTTATAAGATATTGTTAATATTTAAGGATAGCAGAAAATGTTGGTGAAATTCATCGTTTACGGCCACCTCGAAGGTTCCACAAAGACAAGGTCATCCGACCTTACAATGAAGCAGAGGCTGCGGGATATGCAATACTATTGGTACGTCACAATAATTTCAATCTATTTTTAGCCAATAAAATCGTCCTAGTGTCCTTGAAATTTAGCGTATTTTGTTGATGTTCATGTTTTTTAAAGTTAAGCAACAGTGGTCTTCATCTTATCTGCAACAAGAAAACAATTGTTCTCAACATTTGATAAGTATTAGCTTGAAAGATGGTGGCCTTTACCGGTAGTTCAAATACCACATGGAGACAGATATTTTCAAATGCATAATGTTCTGAATCTGAGATTTATAGCAATAGGAAAATAATAAATATGACAAGATTCTTGAAGACAGATTTCTGTTACATGTACAATGTATTTATAAACTGTATGAAATTGTTAGTTTACACAGAATTTATTTTAGTTTGATTGTGTAAGAAGCTATAAGCTTATAGACACACTCTTGAATCTGTTCCTGGAACCAATCAGTACTGAGTAATGTGTGTAAAGTTTCTCGATGAAGGAAAGAAACGGCTCGGCCCTGATGGGTTTTGAACCCACTCTGTTAAAGATCCTTAGATTACTAGTTCTGACATATTAACCACTTGGCTACATGAAATTTTTCAAGGCAGAAGATTATATCTATATTTGTTTGCAATTGTATTATTTCTGCATTTGTATGTTTTATACATTTGTTTGCTTTCATCATATGTATGCATATAGCGATTCACCTGTGTGTTTGTTTGTGTGTGTGTTATATAGATTATATAGTGAACTTAAAAAATCTTCTTGTGAAAAACCACTAGTCCAATTTCAACCAAACTTGGCAGGATTGATCCTTGGTTAAAGGGCTTCCAAAGTTGATCAAAGAATTTAATTCCATGCAGAAATCTTGTTGCCATGGCAACCAAAAGGAATTATAAGAATAAATTTAAAAAATCTTCTTGTAAAGACCCAAAAGGCCTAGAGCTTAGATATTTTGCATAAGGCATTGTCTGGTAGACCTCTACCAAGATTGTTCAAATTATAGCCCTGGGGTCAAAATCGGCCCTGCCCCGGGGGTCATTTATTTTCACTATATATACATATAGTAAAAACTTAAAATACCTTTTTGTAAAGACCCGTAGGCCTAGAGCTTAGATATTTTGCATAAGGCATTGTCTGGTAGACCCTTACCAAGATTGTTCAAATTATAGCCCTGGGGTAAAAATCAGCCCCGTCCCGGGGTCATTGATTTTCACTATATGTACATATAGTAAAAACTTAAAATACCTTCTTGTAAAGACCCAAAAGGCCTAGAGCTTAGATATTTTGCATAAGGCATTGTCTAGTAGACCTCTACCCAGATTGTTCAAATTATAGCCCTGGGGTCAAAATCGGCCCCGCCCCGGGGGTCATTGATTTTCCTCATATTTACATAGTAAAAACTTATAGTAAAAACTTTAAAAAAAATTCTTCTAGCAATTGACAAATGCTGGAGGTTAGATATTTTGCATGAAACATTGTGAAGTGAACCTCTAGCAAGATTGTTCAAATAATAGCCCTGGGGTCAAAATTGCCCCCGCCCCAGGGTCATTGATTTTCAATATATACATACTGTAAAAAATAAAAAAATCTTATTGTTTGAAGGTACAAGGCTTAGAGCTTTAATATTTGTTAAATGATATCATCTATAGGTACTCTACCAAAGTTGTTCAAATTTTGCCTCTAGTGTCACCTTTGATGCAGCTGTGTGAAATAGGACCTTCACCACCAAATTCACTGACTCAAGTGCATTGATATATTCCTACTCTGATCTTTTATTGAGTAAACAATAGATTTAACCACTAATCTGATAATAGGAATAAGATAGGTCAGGGATCTATGCATTATGACAATCTCAAATTGTATAGAAACAAAAAAAAATATGTTCCTACACTACTATTTAGTGTTGTATTAATGCGGTGGCATAGCATTTTTCTCAAATGCAATCTTGTTTACATTTGTATGTTTCCTTAAGTATATGTTGCCTTCATTTGTATGTTTTCTACATTGGTATATTGTTTTTCTACAGTAATTTGTGCACTTCCTTTATTTGTATATTTCCTACATATTTACCTGGTATGTTGGCTCCATTTGTATGTTTCCTTCCTTTATTTCTATATTTCCTGCATTTGTATGTTTCCTATACGTGTCTTTGTAAGTTTGCTCCATTTGTATGTTTCCTTCCTTTATTTCTATATTTCCTGTATTTGTATGTTTTCTATACATGTCTTTGTAAGTTTACTACATTTGTATGTTTACAGGAGACAGAGAAAGGGAAGTTTTACAAGACAGATGATTATGTAGCTCATGCTGTAGTAACTAAAGATCAGAAAAATGTCTTCTTGGTGACAAACAAGTATGTTTCTTATTGTTTATGTGGCACTTGTGTGAGTAAAAACATGCAGTTTGACTGGGATTGGAACTCTTAAGTCTAGGAATATCTTGCCACAGTTCTTTTCAGCTGCACACACTTTTTATATCCTTAAAAAAATTAAAGGTACTGTTATGTAACAGTGACATTTTCACCCTTAACTTACTGAATTTATTACATGGACTTGCCCAGCTTCAATTTTTGAATCTGTCCATTTCACAATTTTTGGAAGATCAAAAAGAAAATATGAAAGTTATACAACCAACAATATAGAGCCTCATGCACCAAAAGGCTAGCCTGACTCTATAATGGTTGTGTAAGCTACTCACTCAGTTTCAGCATAGTTATGGTCAATGTTAAAAAAACATGTTTTAATTGATTTAACTTAATGCCAAATTGTATATCAGTATCATGAATACACTTTGGATTCGATTAAAGGCTGTCTGTGGTTGATATTAGCTTGTCTGTTTTGAAGAAGATGAGCTATAATGATTGTTGTGGCGTCGTCATCATTGGCATCATGCAAAAACTTTAATGTAACCAATTAATCAAACATTTTAAAAGTTATAAACATGAAACTTGGAATACTTGCTTATCATGACAAGGTTCTATTGTTAGACAAGGGGCATAATTCTGAAAACAATATCTTTTGAGAAATGCCCGTTTTTAACTAAGAATTTTTAGCACTGCATGAGGTGCTCTTGTTTTCAATTTGCCGGATGTCTAGTTTCAGTAATATAATTATTGAGAACTTTTGGGCTGTTACTGTCATTTTGCAATAATTGAATTAAAATATTATTTTCTGATAAATCAGCCTTTTATTTTATATAGATATACATCTACATTGTGTATACAAACATGCTTTAGTCTCATGTAAGTACATGATATTTGTACGATACGTATTTTTCCTGTTTTTCTATAAAGGAGAGTAATTTTTGCAAGTCGTGGTGAAATCTTTGGACAATGGAATTGTGAATTTACGTATGTTTGGGCAGAGTTGAAAGAGAAGCCTAAAGCAAACAACAAGGGTTTTGAACTTGTCCTGAAGGAGAAAGAGAAGAAGTTTTTATTCGGAGCGTCAAGTACTAAGAAAGAGATTCATATACAGGATAAGAAAACTGTGGAAGTAAGTACAGAGTTGTTCTTCTTGAACTGTTTAAGTAAGTGCAGGGTTGTCTATCTTGAAATTGTTGAAGTTAGTGCAGAGTTGTCCTTCTTGAACTGTTGAAGTAAGTACAGAGTTGTCCTTTCCTGAACTGTTGAAGTAAGTACAGAGTTGTCCTTCTTGAAGTGTTTGAAGTAAGTACAGAGTTGTCCTTCTTGAAGTGTTGAAGTAAGTACAGAGTTGTCCTTCCTGAACTGTTGAAGTGAGTACAGAGTTGTCGACACTGTTGAAGTAAGTACAGAGTTGTCCTTCCTGAACTGTTGAAGGAAGTACAGAGTTGTCCTTCCTGAACTGTTGAAGTAAGTACAGAGTTGTCCTTCTTGAACTGTTGAAGTAAGTACAGAGTTGTCCTTCTTGAACTGTTGAAGTAAGTACAGAGTTGTCCTTCCTGAACTGTTGAAGTAAGTACAGAGTTGTCCTTCCTGAACTGTTGAAGTAAGTACAGAGTTGTCTTTCTTTAACTGTTGAAGTAAGTATATAGTTGTCCTTCTTGAACTTTTGGTGTACAGAATTTTCCTTCTGTAACTGTTGAAGTTAGTACAGGGTTATCCTTTAACTGTTTGAGTAAGTGCAGAGTTGGCTATTTTGAACTTTTGAAGTAAGTGCAGAGTTATCCTTCTTGAACTGTTGGAGTTAGTGCAGAGTTATCCTTCTTTAACTGTTGAAGTATGGACAGAGCTTTCCTTTTAATTGTTGAAGTAAATACAATGTTGTCCTTTTAAAGTTACAGTTAGCACTAAGTTGTCTTTCTTGAACTGTTGAAGTAAGTACCAAGTTGTCTTTCTTGAACTGTTGAAGTTAGTACCAAGTTGTCTTTCTTGAAATGTTGAAGTTAATACATAGTTGTCCTTCTTGATCTATTGAAGCAAGTGTTTAAGATACCATTATTAATGTAATTTGGTATTACATCATGTATTCTTCATTTCATTCTACAGCTTTGTGATACAAATTGTATTCTTATTATTTTTCAGTATATAATTGGAAAGATATCAGAAGCTTGGGACAATGCCAATTAAATCAACTTAATTAATGAGAGATTCAGAGTCACACAACTGCTGTTTTAATTAGTTATAATTATATATAGACAATATTATAAACAATTATAATAAATTGTTCCTTATTTTTCAGACCTTATCAATGAGTATATATGCATTAGTTTATGTATGTGTTTTGGATGCCTGAGAAATTCTGTGCAAAAAAGGGATACTGATTATTGTTGTTAAAAAATATGGTTTTATTACAAAATTATCACAAAATTTTGTGGGTTTGTTATGAGACTTTGTTTTATTGCAATATCTCAAGAAATTTGATTTTTTTATTTGATAACCTCTAATTGTTTTCAGATATTTAACAAATCTTTAAAAGTCAAGCTCAGTAATGAAAGGTAATTTATTGTAGTAAAAATGTTGGGTGATGATAAATGTAAGGTTTACACTACTGCTGTTTTAATTGGTTATAATTATAAAAAGACAATATTATAAACAATTATAAAATGTACCTTACATAATCGCAAAGATTATTTTTAGGTTTCATTGAATTATATTTTTCAGACCTTATTAATGAGTAAACATGCATTAGTTTATGTATGTATTGTGGATGCCTGAGAAATTCTGTGCAGAGAAAAGGGATACTGATTATTGTTAAGATTGGTTTTATTACATTTTTATGCTCCCCGAAAAATTTCGGGGGAGCATATAGTCGGCGCCTTGTCCGTCTGTCCGTCCGTCCGTCTGTCCGTCCGTTGTCTTGTCCGGAGCATAACTTGAAAACCTTGGAGATAATTTGTTGAAACTTCATACAGTGGTAGAGGGCATCGAGGGGAGTGCAGTGTCCAAAGAAACCATAACTCTTTTTTGCCCGGTTTTTGAATTATCTCCCCTTATAGAAAAAATCTCTTGTCCAGGGCATAACTCTAAAACTATAAGAGATATCAACATGAAACTTTGTAGGTGAATAGATCTCAATGGGTAGATGTGCAGTGCATAAGAACAATAACTCTTTTTGTCCCTAATTTTGGAGTTATTGCCCTTTGTTAATTTTATATACTTTGAAACTTTGTCCGGAACATAACTTGAAAACCCTTGGAGATAATTTGTTGAAACTTCATACAGTGGTAAGGGCATTGAGGGGAGTGCAGTGTCAAAAGAACCATAACTCTATTTTGCCCGGTTTTTTGAATTATCTCCCCTTGTAGAAAAATCTTGTCCGGGGCATAACTCTAAAACTATAAGAGGTATCAACATGAAACTTTGTAGGTGAATAGATCTCAATGGATAGATGTGCTCTGCAAAAGAACCATAACTCTGTTAAGCCTTATTTTTGAATAATCTCCCCTTTTAGAAAAATCTTGTCCAGGACATAGCTGTAAAACTATAAGAGATATCAACATGAAACTTTGTAGGTAGATAAATCTCAATGGGTAGATGTGCAGTGCAAAAGAATCATAACTCTACCTTGCTAATTCTGGAGTTATTGCCCTTTGTTTATTTTTACTTTTTGAATTGTCCAGGACATAACTCGGAAATCATAAGAGATATCATCAAGAAACTTTGTAGGTTGATAGATCACATTGATTAATAGTGCAGTGCAAAGAACTGTAACAGCCTTGCCTAATTTTGGGATTATTGCACTTTGAACTTTTTCCACGGACATAACTCTGAAACTACAAGAGGTGTACTTTCCTGTGTCCAAAACCTATTCGGGGAGCATCACCCGGCTCAAACCGGGCTCTTGTTTTTTATTATTAAATTTTGTTTAATTGTTGCAATATTATGGAAAATTTGATTTTTATGCTCCCCGAAAAAATTTCGGGGGAGCATATAGTCGCCGCCTTGTCTGTCCGTCCGTCGGTCCGTCCGTCCCCTTTTCTTGTCCGGGACATAACTTTGAAACAACAAGAGGTATCAACTTGAAACTTTGTAGGTAGATAGATCTCATTGAGTAGGTGTGCAGTGCACAAGAACCGTAACTCTGCCTTGCCTAATTTTTTTTAATTATCCCCCTTTGTTTATTTTACACTTTGAACTTTGTCCGGGACATAATCTAAAAGTATAAGAGGTATCAACATAAACTTTCGTAGGTAGATAGATCTCATTGAGAAGGTGTGCAGTGCACATAAACCGTAAACTCTGCCTTGCCTAATTTGTGAATTTATCCCCCTTTGTTTATTTTACACATTGAAATTTGTCCGGGACTAACTCTAAAAAGTATAAAGTATCAACATGAAAAACTTTGTAGTTAGATAGATCTCATTGAGTAGGTGTGCAGTGCACAAGAACCGTAACTCTGCCTTGCCTAATTTTTGAATTATTCCCTTTGTTTATTTTACACTTTGAACTTTGTCCTGGACATAACTCTAAAGTATAAGAGGTATCAACATGAAACTTTGTAGGTAGATAGATCTCATTGAGTAGGTGTGCAGTGACACAAGAACCGTAACTCTTGCCTTGCCTAATTTTTGAATTATCCCCCTTTGTTTATTTTACACTTTGAAATTTGTCCTGGGAAACATTACTCTAAAAGTATAAGAGATATCAACATGAAACTTTGTAGGTAGATAGATCTCATTGAGTAGGTGTGCAGTGCAACAAGAACCAGTAACTCTGCCTTGCCTAATTTTTGAATTATTCCCCTTTGTCTATTTACACTTTGAACTTTGTCCGGGACATAACTCTAAAAGTATAAAAGGTATCAACATGAAACTTTGTAGGTAGATAGACTCATTGAGTAGTGTGCAGTGCACAAGAACCGTAACTCTGCCTGTTCATTTTTTGAATTATCTCCCTTTGTTATTTTACACTTTGAACTTTGTCCGGGCAAACTCTAAAAACTATAATAGGTTCAACATGAAACTTGTAGGTAGATAGATCTCCTTGATAGATGTGCAGTGAACAAGAACCTTACTCTGCCTTGCCTAATTTTTAATTATCCCCCTTTGTTTATTTTACACTTTGAACTTTGTCGGACATAACTCTTATGTTTAAGAGATATCAACATGAAACTTGTAAGTAGATAGATCTCATTGAGTAAGTTTGCAGTCCACTACTGTAACACGTCTTTCCTCCTTTTGAGTTATTGCCCTTTTTCATTTTGACACTATTTGAACTTTGTCTGACATTACTCTTAAATTATAAGAGATTACAACATGAAACTTTGTAGATAGAAGGTCTCATTGGTGGAAGTGCAGGTGCTTAGAATCATTACCGCCTTGCCTTATTTTGAAGAAATTGCCCTTTGTTTATTTTTACTTTTTGACTTTTGTCCTGGACATGACTTTAAA